ATGGTTTACATCAATCACAATGCATTCCACTCCTTGCCTGTACATTCTAAATACTTAAGAAAGGATGGAGGTATCGAGGTTGATCTAGTAATTTCTTATTGTACAACCCATCAAATACCCTGGATGTGGCAAGTTGCAGAATCTGACAAAACACAGGAACATTTGCTTACAAAATACACGGTCATCACATGGTACATTAAATCAACAACAACAACAACTTGGATTTATATAGTGCCCTCCACGCCGGATGGGGTCTCAGAGCGCTTCACAGTAATGGATCCCGGGGCCGAGCCAGGGGGAGGGGGAGGAAGGTGACCAAAGGCGCGGTCGAAAAGGTCTTCAGCCGTTGTTGTTGTTGTACATTCAATCCTGGAATCCAGAAAATATCCTCGAACAATAACAGCAATAACTTGCATTTATATAGCGCCCCTCATGCGGGGTAGCGGCCAGAGCACTTGAAATCTCTAGTCATGAAAGGCACTGTATCAAATGGAAGAATGTTAATTGTTATTTATCGTCTTTTTAAAATTGACAAGGAATGGATTCATATGATGGGACAAGGATTTCAGCATGCTGCTTCAGGCAGTAGTATCTTGACATTGGCTTTGTGTAAAGAGCTACTGCAAACAAATCCTTTTGAAGAAAGAATTGCTGATTTATAAGTGACTGATGAACAATTTTTTTGTTATTTTCACTGTTATAAATTATTCTTTGCAATGATGCTAGTAAATTAGCTTCATATTACTATATGTGTATCTCAAAATATATGGAATAAACACATCAGACAAGAAACTTCTTTTGCCTCCAAAAGCAACTATGGTGAAAGTGATGTGCACCGACATAAAGATAATCCTTGCATCCCAAAGCACTTCACAAGATTTTAATAATAATAATAATACAACAACAACAACAAGATTCCATTTATACACCTTTCACGTCGGGAGGACGTCCCAAGGCGCTGTACAGTTGGGTCAGGACCCGAGCAAGGGGGAAATGGTCAGGGTGAGGGGAGGGAAGGGAGGGAGCGAGGAGGGGGTAGAGAGTCGAGAGGGGAGCTGAAGGCACGGTCAAAGAGAAAGGTCTTGAGACCGGCCTTGAAGGAGGAAAGGGAGGAGGCGGCAAAGGCGCTGGGGGATAGAGTTCCAGAGCCTAGGGGCTGAGAGGCTGAAGGCCCGGCCACGAATAGTAGGGCGGTTGGGGCGGGGGATGTGGAGCAGACCGGAGCCAGAGGAACGGAGGGTACGGGCAGGTAGGTAGGGGGATAGTAAGTCGGAGAGGTAGGAGGGAGCGAGGCCGTGAATGGCCATTGTAGGTGAGGGTGAGGATCTTGAATTTGATCCTCTGGGGGATGGGGAGCCAGTGGAGGTGAGCGAGGGTGGGAGTGATGTGGTCGCGAAGCCTGGTGCGGGACAGTACACGAGCTGCAGAGTTCTGAATGACCTGCAGCTTGTGGAGGGAGGTGCCGGGAAGGCCGGCGAGGAGAGAGTTCCCATAGTCCAGCCTTGAGGTGATGAAGGCGTGGACCAGAGTTTCAGCAGCGTGAGGGGTGAGGTAGTGCCATAGTCTGGCGACATTCCGGACGTGATGGAAGGCGGTGCCAGTTGTGGCGCGGATATGGGGGAGAAAGGACAGCTCAGGGTCGAACAGAACCCCGAGGTTCCTGACCGGCTTTGAGAGGTGGAGAGTGCAGCCTTGGATGCTGATGCTGTCAGCGCTTGAGCTGAAGAAAGTTGTCTCTCGTCCAGGACTCGATGTCGGACAGGCAGGCTGTCAGGACATCGGTGGTCGTGGAGTTGAGGGTAGAGGAGGAAAGGTAGATTTGCGTGTCATCCGCATACATGTGGAAGTTAACCCCATGTCTGCGGATGATGTCACCAAGAGGGTGAAGAGGAGGGGACCGAGGACAGAGCCTTGAGGGACACCGCACGAGACAGTGCGGGGACCGGAGGAAAAACCATGCATAATAAACCTTGCATTTCATATAGCACCATTATCACATCATTGAGATGTCTCAAAGCAATTCACAGAATATATTGTAAAGTGAATTGACTATATTTTTGGGGCAAAATGCGGTAGCCAATTGCGTACAGCAGTGTCCCACAAACAGTCCTGGATTGAGTGATTAAGTTATCATTATTATTTTTTTGAAGGGATTATTACCCCCGTAAAACAATCTGCCAATCTACGAACAACCGGTACCTACTTACTGCTAGGTAAACAGAGGAGTGGGGAATAAGGAAACTTGCCTAAGGTTTCGCCCCATCCAGGAATCAAGCTCGAGGGCTCTAACGAATAAACTTCAGGACTTTCCAGTGAAGTGTAAGGTCTATGCATTTCTAGGTGTGAGGTGTGGGTAAAGGACAAAGCAGTGGTACTAACAGATGTTGTCTATTAGGGACACCTTGAAGAAATCTGCATGGAAGGGTTCATGACTTCATTCCTATGTTTCTCTAAATGTAGTTCAAGGGTTCAATATTACAATCTTATATTTCTCTGAATATAGTAGTCTTTAAGTTAGATGTCTCCTAATTTTTTTATACCCATCATCCTGTCCTTGATTCCTCAAATCGTTGTTTCCTTGTAAATTACAGTTTCACAATACAGCTGTTCAGCTGGCTGCAATCCAGTCTACAGGGCAATCCTATTCTCTGACAAGCTTTCTCTGATAAATGACCAAAGTCCTTCTCTGAGTTATCAAAGCCCTTGTTTTCAATCTGAGTTTCCAGTGCACCTCACTCCATGGGTCACAGTCTTCTGTTTGAACGGTTCTCTGGGGGACTGGTTTGCAACCAACTGCAGGAGATTCCACCAATATAAATCAGGAAGCTACAATTTATGCTAGTGATAGTGAGTTTTAATGTGTCCAAGAAATTCTGAATGTAGTCAGAACACAATAATAACATTAAAAATACATGATTCATTCTCCACATTGACCAATCTCTGTGTCCTCACAGATAAAAACAATTTAATGCTGTTAAATTATAAATAATGCTTTACCTGGAAGCTTTTGGAAAGAAAAAATTGAAGGATATTTCCCTACATTTCCCTGCAATCGTTTTACTTGTTAAGATGTTTATAAGTGTTCTTCCACATTTTTCAGTGGTAGACATGGCATTTAACAGATCAACGATGATAAGCACCTTATCAGCTCAAATGTTTTACAGTAATCCAGTAATCACTGTCAAGTGTAATTAGTGGGGCTTTTGTTGGCAAATGCAGCAGCCATTTAGCCCATAGTAAGACCTTATCAACAGCCATGAGATGATTCATCATAGATCATAGAAGGCTCAGAAACAGGCCATTTGGCCCATCCAATCTGGCTGGTATTTACAGTCACACAAGTGCCTATCCTAGATTCTATCCCTAGTCCCATATCCGGCCTTTTCACCATATTCTTCAACTTTATTCTACCTCAACCATGTGTCCATTCTTTTTTGAATGTGCACAGCCCAACAACTGACTGGAGAATTGTTGACCATGATTTTGTAAGAAACTTCTTTCTATTTTTGAATAGTCTCATAGGATCTTTAACATCCAAAACACAACCTTGTATTTATTTTGTGTGCTTGATGTGGATAGCATCATGGAGTTTACAGCCACTTGAACAATAATCAAGTGAGGCCTCAGTTTAATGTCTCACCTGAAGAACAGCATTTCCAATAGTCTGAGTTTGTGACTATATGATTGTATATCCAGTGCCTAAAATCCAACTTGATTGGCTTGCAACAACAACAACAACAACAATTAGATTTGTATAACGCCTTTCAAATCGGGAGGACGTCTCAAGGAGCTGGATAGTCAGGGATTTGGACCCGAGTGGGGGGGGGAGGGGTTTGATATCAGGGTGAGTGGTGGAGAGCAGGAAGAATAGGAGGAGTAGGAGAGTGGATGAATACGCAATCGAAGAGGAGGGTCTTGAGATGTGCTTTGAAGGAGGCAAGTGTGGGAGCAAGACAAAGGGACTGTGGGATGGAGTTCCAAAGGTTGGGGGCAGAGAGGCTGAAGGTCTGACCACTGACGGTGGGGTGCACCGTTGGGGGACATGGAGCAGCCCGGTGTCTGCTAAGCAGAGGGAGCGGACAGGTCGATATAGAGTTCGACCTGCTACATGCTTAAAGTATTTACCAGCTACATGCTTAAAGTATTTACCAGCTACATGCTTAAAGTAGCACACATACACCTGCCTTTCACGGCAGAGCAGTTCTGTGCTTTACGCTATTCCTAGAGAATAACAGTGGACACTCCTTGGAAAGCACAGTGTCTGGAGTCAATGCAACACCAGACACTGATGCAAGGTGTCAGGGTTAATTTCATTCACACACATAGCTAGTAGCTAGTAGGCATCCTACAGCTTCTCAGTTAGTGCTGGATCAATCTACCGAGAATGCAAAAAGTATGTTCATTACAGAGGATCCAAGAAGCACAGAGCACACAGAGCACTTGCATGATTATTTTGTACTTATTAATAAATCATTGCAGCATAAATCATTTCATATCACCACAGACTGGGTCACACTGGGTGACTGGATCACATCTTTAAACCCAAATACCTTATGACCACCTGAAATTGTTACGAGCATTTAAGGGAAGCAGAATAACTCAACTAATACAAAGATTCCCATGAATGATCTGACCCTGGAACAGCGAGCAGTTACTTCAAGCACAAAATATGAAGCAAGGTGAACTTCGGATAGGTAGTTGGGCCAATTTGGCGAGATTAGGATGATACTTTTCAAATTAAACATTGGTGGATAATTTTTCCAAGGTCAAAAAAATTGTGGGTGTATGAGCATTTATTGGGATTTTCCCATTACCAACTGACACTGCCAATGTCTGCATTTTTTGACCAGTGGTAGAATAGATTTACCAACCTTAAGAAAATCATCCCTTTAGAATATATCCTGAACTTTTTGCAATAGTTTAGTTAATCTGCTCCAATATGTACTCTCCCATTAAATGTTCATGACACTTTTAGGTGATCATGAATTGTGGAGCGAAAAATGCGGTGAGTGAGGTGATAATTATCCTAGGTGGCAATCATCACCAGTGATAATTATTACAAAGCTGAAAGTTGTCTTTAAATGTTGACAGGTTTATGAGTGGACACCCTCAACTGACTCCAGTGTCGTCATTCACCGTGAAGATCTCCACAACCTACTTTGTTTTTGCCACGTTCAATTAAGTCTGACACAAAGATGATAGCCTGTGAAGGACCCAAATGGATTTGGGCCAACAATTGTGCTGAAGCTTGAAAGTAGGATGGAAAAGGAATCACAACACATACTGTATTTTACACCTTAATGTTGAGAAACCTCAGTGCTGAGTGCCTCAGTGTTTTTCGGATGAGACGTTAAACAAATGTCCAGTCTGCCTGTTCAGGTGGACATTAAAAATCCCATGGCGCTGTTCGAAAAGAGAGGATCATTTATTTCATGGCTGATTGTGGGAAATTGCTGTGTGCAATTGTGCTACCGCATTTGCCTACAAATACACAGTCACTATTTCACAGTAAATCATGTGAAGCACTTTGAGACATCCTTTCGATGTGGTATGGTTTGATACCAAATGCAAAGATTATTATTACTAGTGCTGAAAATACATAGCTGATCCTATAAGACTTATTGGTATTATCAATGGGGAAAAAATCTATTCTATGCTGCAGCAAAGTATCAACCAATCTGATGAATGCAATTACCGCCCTATCTCCAACCTCACTTTCCTTTCCAAGCTCCTGGAATGAGTTGTTATTTTCCAGTTTCGCTCCTTCCTCTCCCGTCACTCCCTCTGTGAACCCCTCCAATTGGGTTTCTGTGCTGCCCACAGCACAGAAATAGCCTTGGTCAAAGTGACAAATGATATCTGGTCCATCTGTGACCAGGGCTCCCTCTGTCTCCTTGTCCTCCTTGACCTCTCTGTTGCCTTTGACACTTTATCCAACTCCACCGTCTCCCCTCTCAACTCAACCTTCATGGTTCTGTCCTTGACTGGTTCAGATCCTACCTTTTACACCATCTGTACTTTGTCTCCACAAACGGCTTCTCCTCCAGCCCTCACACTTTCTTGTGCAGTGTTCCTCAGGGCTCTGACCTTGGTTCCCTCCTCTTCAATATCTATATGCTCCCCGTTGACGGCATCATTCACAGACATGGGGACAACTTCCACCTGTATCCAGATGACACCTAATTTTACTTCTCTGTCTCCACCCTCGACTCCAAGACCACTGCTGTCCTAACAAATGTCTGTCGAGCATCAAGTCCTGGATGAGAGCTAACTTTCTACAGTTGAACGTCAACAAGACTGAGGCTCTCCTGATTGACTCTCATCAGGGCCTCCACAGCTCAGGCACTGACAGCATCACCATCCAGTAATACACACTCCACCTCACTGAACCAGTCAGGAACCTTGGCTACTTGTTTGATCCTTAACTATCCTTTCTACCCCACATCCCTGCCATGACCCGCTCTGCCTTCCCCCACCTCCCCAACATCATCCGGCTCCACCACTGTCTCTCCCCTCAGGCCACCGAAACCCTCATCCATGCATGCATCACATCTAGGCTCAACTATGCCAACTTCCTGTTTGTCAGCCTCCCCAACTCTTCCATCACAAGCTGCAGATCATCCAGAACTCTGTAGCTCGTGATGCTCCCTCCGCTCAGCAGACTCCAGCCTGCTCCACGTCCCCCACCCAGCCAGCCCCTCCATTGCTGGTCAGGTCTTCAGTCTCTCTGCCCCCACCCTTTGGAACTCCATCCCACAGTCCCTCCATCTTGCTTCCTCCCTTGTCTGCTTCAAGGCATGTCTCAAGACCCTCCTCTTTGACCACGCCTACGGCCATCCTCCTTTCTCTACCCTCCCTGCCCTCTACCCCCCAATCCCAACCCCCTGCTCGTGTCCAAATCTCTGACTGTCCAGCGCCTTGGGACGTCCTCCCAATATGAAAGGTGCTATACAAATGTAATGTGTTGTTGTATATGCATGGCTGGTCAGGCAAAAGGCAAACGGAGTGAAGTTAGATATAGTTCAGAGAGGGTCTGTTCTGAATAGCAATCAATGCTTCTGTCGAGCACTTGGATATTCAGGCCATTTATGTTCACATTTAGAGTAACCCATGCTCCAGCTTAAGGCTGACTCAACACCTCATTGAAAGCACACAGGTTGTGTACAGATTCAAAGGTTTCACACTTTGATGGCATTCTTAGCTGATGTAGCTGAATATTGAAATGGCAAAAATCCCACATGAATAGTAATTGTATTTCCAATTGTACCTTCGGTGACAGTGCAGCTTTTGAACAACATGGTTTAAAAAAATTGTGTGTTTCAGTATTAAAGAAGCTATATGTTAAGCATTTATTACATCTACCCAGAGGGTATATAAATATCATGAAGGGCTTTGTTATTTTGTGTTAAGCCACAGAGGAAGAATCTAGCTACCGCCAGTGCTGCTGACACAAAAATCTAATAAGCGTTTACTGAGACAGTAATAATTCATGTTGTACTGTAGGTCTATTGTATTTGGTGCTCGTTTCCACTCTAGATCTTTTTGTTTACTGCATACTATTTTTATTTGTTTTCTAGATCCATAGTAATCTACCCAATGCTGAATTCTCTTAAACGTCAGTAAATTTCACCGACAAAATATAGTCAATTCACTTTACGGTATATTCTGTGAAGTCCTTTGAGACATCTCGAAGACGTGATAAGGCATTATATCAAATGCAAGGATTATTTTATTATTTAAATGTATTTCTATGTTTCATTCTCTTTTAAGTCAGTATTTGTACTGAGGTGGATCAGTCTCAGTAATTCACTGAGAATGGCAGCAGCTGCCAGAATGCTGTTCCAGGTTTTACTAAGCTGTTTCTGTCTCTCGGTCTACAACTGGCTGTCTGCATGACTGACCACTGTTGCTCAGTATCAACGATCCTTGTTAGACACTGAGTCAAAAAATATTCCTGTTCTGCTGCCAGTATGGCTTTTTGTTGGATTGCTGGTTTTATTACATCTTTGCCAATTAGAGTTCTCTCAAGCCCAAAGGCTTAACAGCATAAGTATTACACTTTAGGCGCATACAGATATTCACAACTTGTTGTTGCAGTAATGGTGGATGCATTTTCACCAAATCATTCCAGCATTTGCAACAAGGATTTTTTTCCTGTTTGTTGATGGTGGCTAACTGGAAACTGTGCACTCTAGTTTCTCACGTAATCTGAGATTATGCTGCATGAATATTGTCTGTGCTGGAATATTTCTTCCCTTCATGTCAAAGAAAAGATTTTAAAATAGGTCTGTTGTGTAAATGTGACTGGTCAGAGGACACATTACTTATAGCCAAAAAATTCTCTTCCTCAAACAAAATTCAGAACTGTAAGGAAAGGCTATAAAGGAATAATTGTTAATAATAATAATAATAATAATAATAATGATAATCATGACAATAATAATCAATGCTTTGATACAGTGTATTTCAAGATGAAGTAATGGAGAGGCTGGATGAAGATAGTGCAGTTGATGTAGTTTATATGGATTATCAAAAGGCGTTTGATAACGTGCCACATAAGAGACTTGTAAGCAAAATAGAAGCCCACGGTAATAAAGGGACAGTGGCAGCATGGATACAGAACTGGTTGGTAGATAGAAAGCAGAGAGTGGTGGTGAGCGGTTGTTTTTCTGACTGGAGGGAAGTGTGCAATGATGTCCCCCAGGGGTCAGTATTGGGACCACTGCTGTTTTTTGATCTATATAAACGATCTGGACTTGGGTATAGGGAGTACAATTTCCAAGTTTGCAGATGATACCAAGCTAGGAAAAGTAGTAAACAGTAAGGAGGATAGTAACAGACTGCAAGAGGACATAGACAGTTTGGTAAAATGGGCGGACACATGGCAGATGGAGTTTAATGTGGAGAAATGCAAAGTGATGCATTTTGGGAGGAAGAATGAGGAGAGGCAATATAAACTGATGGTACAATCTTAAAGGAGTGAAGCAACAGAGAGACCTGGGGGTTCATATAAGTAAATCTTTGAAGGTGGCAGGACAGGCAGACAAAGCTGTTAAAAAAGCATATGGGATACTAGTCTTTATAAATAGGGGCATAGAATACAAAAGTCAGGAAGTTATGATGAACCTTTTAAAACATTGGTTAGCCCTCAGCCAGAGACTGTGTTCAGTTCTGGGCACCACACTTTAGGAAGGATGTCAAGGCATTGGAGAGGGTGCAAAGGAGATTTTCCAGGATGGTACCAGGAATGAGGGACTTCAGTTATGAGAAGAGGTTAGAGAGGTTAGGATTATTCTCCTCAGAGCAGACAAGGTTAAGAGGAGACTTATTAGAAGTTTTCAAAATTATGAGGGCATTTGATAGGGTGAAAAAGAAAAGCTATTTCCACTGGCGGGTGCGTCGGTAACCTGAGGGCCCTGATTTAAAATAGTTCTTAAAAGAAACAAGAGGGGAGGTGAGGAGAAATTTTTTCACACAGTGAGTTGTTTGGATCTCGAATGCATTGCCTGAAAGGGTGGTGGCAGCCGACTTGATAACAACTTTTAAGAGAGAAGTAGATATTTATTTGGGGAGGACAAGTTTGCAGGGCTATGTGGAGAGACCGGGGAATGGAATTGATTTGGACAGCTCTTTTCAAAGAGCCGGCACAGACACGATGGGCCAAATGGCCTCCTTCTGTGCTGTGTAACTCTATGATTCTATGATTCAATGATATAGAGCCTTATCACATCGTTGAGACGGCTCAAAGCCGTTCACAGAATATACTGCATCTGACTGTATATTTGGTGGACAAAACATACACAACAGTATCCTACAAACAATTGTGAATTGCCTGACCTAATCATTACTATTATTTTTTTTAAGGGATTATTACACCCAGAAAGCAATCCACCAATTGACTAACGACTGGGTTCCTACTTACTGCTGGTTAAACAGAGGCGAGTGGAGTAATGAGACTTGCCAAAGGTTTGGCCCGACCTGGGAATCAAACCCAGGTCCTCTTGC